AATATAATATAATATAATATAATATAATATAATATAATATAATATAAACTGACATCTCAGAATTAGTCAAACAAACAAACAGAAGAAAAAAGGTCTAAGAGAAGGCACAAGAACCAGAGACCCACGCATTCACACGCTCAGGAGTTCCATAATAATCTGGAAGCCATTATATATACGCAGAGAGCCTGGTGCAGACCTGTGCAGGCCCTGCATGTACGTGTGTAAATGGATAAATGTAATCCACCACATAAACAGACACACTGGAAGACAAAAACCACATGATCCTCTCACTAGATGCAGAAAAGGCCTTTGACAAAATCCAGCACTCATTCATGATGAAAGTCCTGGAGAGATTAGGAATATGTGGGCCATAATGTAAATACAATGAAGGTAGCTTAGTGTAAGCCCATAACCAGCATCAACTTGATGAAGAGGAACTCAAAGTAACCCTACTACAACCTGGAACAAGACAAGGCTGCCTGCTCTCTCTGTACCTGTTTAACATGGTGCTTGAAGTCTTACTTGGCTAGAGCAACAAGGCAGCTGAAGGAGGTAATGAGATCACAGTTAGTTGGTAAGGAAGAAGTCCAAGTCTCTTACTTGCAGATGATGCTCTAGTAGGTGATCCTAAAGTTCCGAGAAATGCCTACGGCTGATAAACACTTTTAGCAAAGTATTTAGATAAAAGATTAACTCGCAGAAATCAGTAGTGTAGTGTAGCACTCCTGGATATAGATAGAAACACTGAGAAGGAAATTGGGAAACAATACCCTTCACAACAGCCTCTTTGGGTTACTAACCAAGCAAGCGAAAGACTTGTATGATAAAAAATTTAAGACACTGAAGAAAGAAATTTAAGAAGATATCAGATGTTCCTCAACTGAAGAATGGATAAAGAAACGGTGGCACATTTACACAATGGAATACTACCCAGCTATTAAAAACAAGGAAATCATGAAATTTGCAGGCAAATGGATCATCCTGAGTGAGGTAACCCAGACCCAGGAAGACACACATGGGATGTACTCACTTATAGGTGGATAGTAGCCATATAGTATAGGGTAACCATACTACAAGTCACAGACCCCAAGAAGCTAAGCAACAAGGAGGGCCCAAGGGAGGGTGCTTGATTCTCAGCAGGGGAAATAGAGTGGTCAGTGGATGAAGAGGGAGGACAGGACTAGGAGAGGGAACACTGAGGGAAATGAGGGTAGAAATCAGATATAGGGTGAGCAGGGCGAGAGGACAGAGGGATTGCAGAGAGGGGGTAAGCAAGGGCAGGGCATCTCTTAGACAAGCTGGGAACCTGCAACAGGGTGGGCTCCCAGGGGGATAAGAGGGTGACTCTAGCCGATACCCCTGTGGTGTGAGTCATAGAGATGGAGAGGCCACCCTCTAACCTGTCAGGACTGTGGAGAGAGGGGAAAACCAACCCACTTACAAAAACTTCCACCCAGAATTTACCCTACCCTCAGGATATGCTGGGATTAACAGAGAGCAGAGACCAACCCATGCCTGGAACAACCTGAGACCCACCCCATGGGAGAGAGCCAAGGCCTGACACTGTTGATGACGCTCTACAGTGTTTGCAGATGGGAGCCTACCTTGGCTGTTCTCTGAGAGGCTCCACCCAGGAGGTAGAAACAGAAACTGAAACTCACAGCCAACCATTGGGTGCAGTATAGCGAGCCTTGTGGAAGAGTGGGGGAAGGATACAAGAACTCGGAGGGCACTGGATCTCTGCAAGAAGAGCAATAGTCCCAACTAACCTGGGCCCAGAGGGACTTGCGGATACTGAAGCACCAACCAACGACCATGCAGGGACTGGACCTAGACTCTTCACATATATACACAACAGGCAGCTTAGCCTCCACGGTTACCAGAAAGAGGATGGGGGCTGTCTCTGACAAAATCTCTGTTGCATGCTTTCTGATCTGTTCACCCTGGCAGGGCTGCCTTGCCAGGACACTGAAAGAGGAAGTACACAGTCCTGAGAGACTGGATGTGCGGGTGTGTGTGTGTGTGTGTGTGTGTGTCTCCCCTTTTCTGAGGGGCAGAGGAGGGGGCGTAGGGAGATAAGGGAGGGACAAAGAGAAGGGGAGGGGGCTAAGACTGAGATGTAAAGTGAATAACGAAGTAAAAATAACAACATAATGGAAAAAAGAAGGTATCAGAAGATGAAAGGATCTCTTATGCTCAAGATTAGTAGGATTACTATAGTAAAAATGATCGTCCTGCCAAAAGCAATCTACAGATTCAGTGCAGTCCCCAGCAACATTCAAGACAACTTTTTACAGTTCTTGAAAGGACAGTTTTCAGGTTCATATGAAAACACAAAAAGCCCAAGATAGCTGAAACAGTCCTGAATAATAAAAGATCTGCTGGAGGTATTACTGTCTCTGTTTCCAAGATATATTACAGAGCTATGATGTTGGCACAGAGCAGGCACATTGATCAGTGGAATCGAATTGAAGACCCAGAAATAAATGCTCACACCTATGGACCCTTAATTTTTGAGAATACAAAAATTGAGAATACAAGTTTTCTCGGGACTCTCCTCAGACTGTGAGACCATTAGACAATATGATTTTGAGTGTGATGAAGTCAGTTTATTTCATCACATGACACTCATCAATTGGAACATCACAGTAACTTAATTGTGCCTATGTGAGGTTTGGTAGTGTTTCTTTTTTATCATTTATTATTTTGTTATTTTTTATTTTTTCTAAAACTTACAATACAGTTTTGAAGACAATCAGCATAACCGTCAGTGGTTACATACTTGAACTGTCCGTCATCACAGATATAAGGGAAAAGGAAACTGAGGGGAGATGTGGCAGTGTATGGAATGTTCAGTTGCTAAGTGTCTGTTAAAGGGATTGCCCTTTATCCCAGTGCACTGGGAGATACCCCTTTCTTCCCCAACCCCTTTTATTGAAAACTGATCCTTTTCTCATATAGTATATCCCGATTACAGTTTACCCTCCCACTGTTCCTCCTGGTTCCCCCTCCTGCCCCCCCCCCCTGCACTTCTGATCCACTCCCTTTTTGTCTTTCCTTACAAAAGAACAGACTTCTAAGAGATAACAATAAAACATGACAAAACAAAACGTAACAATATAGAACAAAACCCATCACACTGAGGCTGGACGTGGCAACCCAACAGAAGGAAAAGAGCCCCGAGGGCAGGCACAGGAGTCAGAGACCCACTTGTTCACACACTCTAGAGTCCCATGAGAAAACTAACCTGAAAGTTATAACAGATGCACAGAGAGGCCGCGTGTTCCTGCTTCAGACTTTAATGAGCCTTGCCTAGTTGATTGAGAGGGCCTGTTCTCCTGGTGTCCTCCATCCCTCTGGCCTTACACTCTTTCTGCCTCCTCTTCTGTGGGGTTCCCTGAGCCCTGGAGAGAGACATTTAGTGGAGACATCCCATTTAGAGCTGTGGATTCTGAGGACCCAAGAAGGTGTAACCCTGGAACAGAAAACACTGCACGCCATGAGTTACCTGTCTACACGGTTAAATAAGCTGTAATTTATTTCTCATTACAACATTACAACGTAAGATGGTTCTTATCTACAGCTTCCTCACTCCGGCTCTCCCAGGTTCTTGGCTCTCAAACAGCCCGCAAGGAATAAACTCCTCAGTGAATTCTGGACTCTGACATTTTGCATCGAGCGTCTGGTGTTTTCCAGGCCTTGGCTCAGTTCTTCTACATACTGGCCAGATGCGCAGAATCTTCAAGTGCAGCCTTAAGTTTTTTTTCCCTTACCATCCAGTTTATCTTCTCTTTGTTCATGACAAGTATTATGCATACTTATTTGTGTACATATACGTGTGTATTATGAGTTTTCTTATCTCGTAGGTATTTATGTGAAAATATTTCTGTAACTACAGATGACATTTTAACTTTTTTTCTTATCACATTTTCTGACGTATTCAGTTCTGCGTGGTTGTAAAAATCAAACTTGTTTTTAACGCTTCTGTCTTGCAGCTCAAAATTGCTCCGGATTAAGAACCTGTGGACAGTGCTTGGGGCAGCCTGGATGTGGCTGGTGCAATGACCCTAGTAACACAGGAAGAGGGCGCTGCATCGAAGGCTCCTCACGGGGGCCGGTGAAGCTTGGTGGAACGCACAGCAGCGACGTGGCTCTCGACCCCAGTCTTTGCCCCAAAGAAAAGAGCTATGAGTGGTCCTTTATCCAGTGTCCAGGTAACAAAAGTTTCATGTTCTCCGAATGCACGGATCGATGTTATGGTGTCACTGTAATATCTTAGAATTCTCTTATTGTATCATTACAGTACCTTAGCATTCTCATTCTCTTCAGTGTTTCCCGTAAAGCTCATGGTGAGTGTGGACGTGACGCCCTGAACATCTATGGTAGACCCTTGTTTTGAGAGCCACCATTGGTGTTCACTACTCTTCAAATTTGAGGATCGCTTTGAAGTTTTTCAGGGACTCTTTGCATGCATGTTTCTGTATTCCTTATTCTGTGCTTATATGTTGGAAGAGAGTTGACCTTGAAAAATCAGTTTGGTCTATACTTGTTTTCTCAGTACATTCTATATACTAAATAGTATATATAGTGTTTTAGGCACTGGAAACATAGTAGTTAATACATTGGCTTAAAAAATTGCTGCACTCACGGAGAACACGTGTTTCTTGAAATAAGTTTGTGAGGTTATGTGATAGATGAGTCCTAGTTAGTGAAAGGAGATTGAAGCTTGCTTACACAAGGCAAAGCTTTGCTGGGAGGTTAACGTTGATGAAAGCCTGGAGAAGAAGATTTTCTGGGTACCCGGGTGATTAGCTGCAGGAGAGGCGACAGGTGGGGCGAGCCGCTTTATTTAGCCGCTTCTAAGAGGCATAAATGAAGAAATGAAGAGGACATACAAATGGGGCTAGAAAATGAATGATAAGTGTGTCATCAGGCTGGCTGTCACCCAGGAGTGTGGCTCTCAGACCCACTGGTGACGTGGGCAGTTGTTGCTCTGAGGCTGGGTGCTTATCCACTACTGTGTATCTTCCTGATGCCCCGTGGGCTGACCCTGTACTTCTGAGCTATCCACCCATTCTGACAGACAGAAACACTGAGAGCTGCCCAGAGTGGCTTTAAATGAGATGCGCAGACTGAGACCATAGAACCAAGTGAATGCGAAAAAACAAAACAAAATAACAACCAAAAGCCTCCTCCCAGAAGGACACACAGAACGTGGTGGTTGCATTTTACCTGTCATTTGCTCACTGAGAGGTGGCCGTGTTAACTTTAAAGGACAACCAGACACAGTCCACGCGGTGTGGATGGAGCACTAGTTATGGGTCAGGTGAGGGGGGAGGGATTTCTTCTTATAGGCATCACGTGAGCTTTGCAGAGGTGAGGAAGTGCTCTGCGTGGTTCCGTAGGCAGTGCATAACTGCCTTTGTCAAAAACCCGTATTGGGATGTAGCTCCGTGGTAGATTACTGTGTTGCCTTTACAGGTTATCAGTTGAACGCCTAGTACCGTAAAGCAAAAATGAACAAAATTCATACCTGTCTGTCACAAAGTGGTGGTACTTTTGCAAGTCTATAAGTCTAAAATTCTGTAAATCTAACTTTCAAAGTACAGTTTGGAAAAGACACAGCAGCTGGCATGGTGGTGCATGCCTTTAATCTTAGCACTCAGAAGGCAGAGGCAGGCAGATCTTTGTGAGTTTGAGGCCAGCTGGGACTACAGAGGGAGTCCAGGACAGCCAGGGATTAGTTACGTAAAGAACCCTGTATTGAAAAACTAAAACACAACAAACAAACAAAGACACAGAAGTTTTAGAAAAGTAGTCAAGGAGGCTTGTAGTCATTGGAACTCGAGATCCCGTGAGCACATTAAGAGGTTAAACATGCAGGACAGAACCAACGAATAGAAGATGAGAACAAAGAAGCCATTCAGCATTCAGGAGAAATAAATAAAGATAAAAATACAACGGCGGTCAGCCTTTAAATAATGGCCTGTGGTGAGATAGTCACTAACCACCTTCAATTTCAATAGAAAATAGTTTTTAACATGGTCAGGATCTGAGGAGACAGTGCGATGCAGTCATGACGTAGTGATAGGCTGTGTTTAGGCCACACGTTGCTGCTCGGAACGTGCAGAGGGCTGAGACGTGTGTCTCTTCAGCAGAAGTTACTGTTAGAGCTGGCCTTCTAAATTAGTTAGATGTCTAGTCTTCTTTACAACTTGCTTGTACTGAGAGGTGGCCTGCAGGACAGCAGGCATCCTGATGTCTGGGAGGGCGATTCTCCAGAGGATTGGTGGGAGGGAAGAAGCCCTGAGAGTGCTCTCACCATCTCCCAGGCGGGCCTACAAGAAATTGGAGGGAAAATGGACAAAGTGAGCCGGTGGCCTCGCTTTCTTTTCTTTTGATTGCCACGATGTGTGTTGCTGTACTTTCTGACCATGATGAACCATAAGCCAGAATAACATTCCAGCCTTTAATTGATTTCCTCAGGGGCTTTGACACATTTGTAGAAAAATTAAAAATCTGGTGCCAGAAGGCAGGCTGTGTGATTGAGAAGCCTTTGCTGCAGGCTAGAGTGAGGTCGCAGGTGTGCAAGCACTTTACAGAGCTCCTGAGATTTCAGACAGGAGCAAAGGTTCTTGGGAGTTGGATTAGAGGCTTTTTGTGTTGCTTTCTGGTCACAATTTCTGTGAAAATTTGGTCTCTGTCTCAAAACTATGGGAGTGTAAGTTCAAAGTGATTAATTATTTTGCCAGAATAAATTTTAGTGCAGTCCAGTGTTCGGGCGGTGGTGTGGTTGTGGCTGGTTGCTTTCAGTCAGGCTTACAGTGAGACACTGTGAAGAAGTGACTAAACTATGCAGTAAGCTCAAAGACACTGCTTCTAACCAGCACCTCGCAGGCCTCACTCAGTTTTCTCTTCTCATGTTTGACGAGAAGCTGTCGCCTCTTCACGGCTTCATGTCTACATCTGTAGCTGATGTCTCTTTGCTCTTACTCTCCAGCCAAGCCCTTCTTGGCCCGCTGATCATGTCTCTTCCCCCTCCTCTCCTTAGGTGTGTGTGTGTGCGTGTGTGTGTGTGTGTGTGTGTGTCCCAATGTTTAAGATCCCCGGTTGTACTTCCACAAGGTCTGGGGTGGATTCCCGGTGCTCCTGGCTGCTCACAATCAAGTGTAACTGCAGTTCTAGGGATCCATTGCTGTCTTCTGGCCCCCACGGGCATTGAACACACACTGCACAGACCCACAAGCAGGCAAGCTACCAAAAACATAAAATAAAATTTTGAAAACAGAAAAGAAAAAGTGTAACACACTGACCGACTAGTCCTTTCCAGGAAGGAGCATGCTCATTTGTCTCTGTCCTGTGGTGTGTGCAGCTGATAAGAGTTGCAGACCTGTTTCAGAGGGTCATTCTGAGCTGCCTTTGTGAGACCCCTGAGAGGGTGTGTCATATGCACCTTTGATTTTAGAGTTCTTTCATCATGTAGTAACACATACTTCAGTCCAGCACATGGTGCGAGGAAGAGAGTAAAGGCTTTGCATGGCCTCTTCCTTTCATGCACCGACTTTTGTGGCATACCAGGCTGTCTTCTGTCTCCTTGGTGATGGTGTGCTTTGGTAAATTGTTCATCCATGCAGGTGATAACTTCAGTTTATAAACACACTCAGTGTCCCTCCCTTCCTGGGAGGTGGCAGCAGTTACATGTCCTGGCCAAGGTGGATTTGGGAACCCGTGCCTGCTGATGGTTGCTTGTCCATCCTATGTCCGGTTCAGATGTCCTCCTCACTCAGCCTTTATCATTCTTGTTTTCAAACCACGACTCATTGTTAGACCTGGACAGTTTCTTTTTCTTTTAATGTAAGTTATCTATTGAAAAAGGTTATGAGTAAGTTGTTTTTTTTTTTTCCTTGACTTTCTGTGTAAACATGTTGGAAATTTACTAATAATGTCATGAAGATATTTTTAAATGCTGCACATCTGTTTACAGAGAGCCCATAATTTCAGAACTATGTTCTTTATTTGCATATTAAATGATGAATTTGCCATTATGTTTTATTTTGATTTTTTTTTTTCTGTTTGTGTTTCCATAAATAAGGAGCCATCTGGGGTAGCTTTAAAATGTAGGCAAAATAAAGTAGATGGATTGCCTTAGTTTTACTTGTGTTCTCTGATTATGTTGATGTTGGGACATTCGAAACAACAGTTTATCCTGAAGAATTATTGAGTGACAGGTTATGCTGCCTTCTGATGCAGTCAGTGCAAGTGTTGATCGAAGCATGACCCCAGGCCCAGGGGTGCAGCCTTTCTCTGTGTTTGACGCCGCCCTTACGCTGGGGTCCGGCTTTTTACAGCATGCCTTGTTCTTCGTTGTTGGTGGTATGTTAGATGGGAGCTGTAACAGCTGGCAGCACCCTCCCTTTGCAGAATTTCCTCCTGCAGTTGGCTCTAAATTCTATCATGTCTGCGTGTTGCATCATCTTTATTAGATCCCTGGGACACATTGATCCACAGCCATGTGGAGCAGGGTCCAGGAGGCATGCTTCCTGGCTGCCCTTGGGATTTTTCTCATTTGGGCAGGAAAGATTGATTGGCCTTTGGCCAGGGTGGTCTTTTAATTTTAGGAGGTGTTATTGGTCATTCCTGTGTATTTTGTGTGTGGCTATCACCACACCCACATTTCGGCTGCTGAAGGGACATTCCTCTGCTGGTCAGCCATGGTCTGTGTGATATGTTAGACGTGATCGCTTCACTTAGCCTTCAGATTCAGAAGCAAGTGTTCAGAGTAAATAATTTTTTCATGTTGTTTGAAATTTCACAAAGTATGTGAGCATATTTCTTATTTTAGTTCTTCATGTAATTTTTTGTTTTTTTAATTATTTACCTTTGTTTTATGTGTATTAATATTTTGACTTCATGTAGATCTATGTGAGAGTGTCAGATCTTGGAGTTACAGACAGTTGTGAGCAGCCATGTGGGTGCTGGGATTTGAACCTGGGTCCTCTGGAAGAACAGTCAGTGCCCTTAACCACTGGGCCATCTTTCCAGCCCCAGGTGATTCTTTATGTGTAGTGGATAGTCATTTTTTTAACCTGAGGGAAAATGATTGTGTGTGGTCTAGATATGCAGAACTCCTCATAACTATGTAAGTAGAATAGTAAAAGTTTTAACAACATGTTTTTATTATGAAAGAATTCCAAGTTTGTTGTTGACAGCTGATGCAGAAAGATCGTGCTGAACTAGGTTTGGACCACTAACTTTTTGAAAGGCATATTTGTGAATTTCAAAACATTTGAAAACAAAATTGTGAAATTTTAAATATATTAGTTTGCATGTTTGATTTTCTTTATTCTGAACTTTCTATTAATAGATTTTCTTTTTTTACAGATGGTTTAAAAGCTGTCTTCTTTTAAGAAGATATACCTTTATTCAAAAGATTCCGTTTGTTCATCTGAGTAATACTAATTCATTTTTCAAAATAAAGATATATTGCAAGATAATTTTGTGTATTTGTAATTTGTTACTAAGTATTAATATATTTATGATACATTAAAACTTCCCATTTTTTGTGAAGCTCATATTATCTAATGTCTTTATATAATTTAATAAAATGTTTACATGATTCTTTATTGAGTACATGGAATGTTCCTTATGTAGCTGTAGTTGGTGTATTTCACACTGTCTCTAGCCCCACATCTCATAAGTAATTAGGTCAACGGCGGCCATGAATGGGGTGCATTCCCTGTTTTGTCTTGATGCTTTCAGCTGCCTGTGTTACGTATTTAAAATCAGGTAATGCGTTGGACTCTGGTAGAATCAGATTTTAAAAGTAACTTCTGCATCCTTCTGCTGTTAGTCACGTCTGCTGTTCACTGTCTCCTTCAGCTTGCCAGTGTAACGGACACAGCACGTGCGTCAGCAGCGACGTGTGTGAGCAGTGCAGGAACCTCACCACCGGGAGGCAGTGCCAGGACTGCATGCCGGGGCACTATGGAGACCCGACCAACGGCGGCCAGTGCACAGGCGAGCGCTTTCTTACTCCACCGTACTTGTGCTAACCAAGAGAGAATAGGGAGCTTCCAGATCTAGCCATGTCCCCGTGACCTGTGTCCTTAGCAAGCATCTTGCCATGTCTGGAGAGTAATGAAGTTTTCCACTGTGTTTTGAGAGAAGAATGTTCCAGACAAAAGTAACAGCTATGACAAATCTACTTTAAAATAGTTTTTGAAGTATTTGAGAGAAAGCAAAGCGCCTGAATGAACGGATGAGGAGGAATGGAGTTTGGAGAGGTGAGGAAGCATGAAAAGGCAGATCGCTTTCTGGGGATGTAAGAACTCCAGTATGTGCTCTGAGTGGAAGGACCACTGCTACTTCTGAGTGGAGGTGTGACATGGTACAGATTCCTCTTAAAAAGGAATTTTTAGGTACTGTTTTCTAAGTAAACAGTCAAGGTTAAAAGTTCACTGGGAAGGTTATTGTAATATGGAGTGAGCAATGATAGAGGCTAAGACCAGGGTGGTAAAACGAAAAATAGTTTTTTTCTTATAGAATTGATGTGGTTATAGAATTCAGCTTGGTTACAGCTAGAAAGATGGTGATGGAAAACAGTCATTAGAGTCCAGAGTGGAGGTGTTGGCTAAGTAGTGAGAGATGCAGGTGGGACGCTCTGGAAGAGCCCCAAGGTAGAAGTTTTCAGCTCAGATGGTGCACAAAGCCACAACACTGGGTGTGATTATCAGGGAGGCAAGGGAGGAGAGAACACCAGAGCCCGGGTCTCAAGCCAGTGAGGAGGAACCTTGGCACAGGCGGGGACAGAGGAAGGACAGTAGGAGTACAGAAAAAGCAGAAGGTGTGAGGTTTTCAAGTTCACGTGAAGGAGGTGTCACCCAGCACCAGGTCACTAGCACTGTGGTGATAGGCTTATTGGGCTTAGCAAGAGTTAAAGGAGCAATTTATGAGAGTGTTTTCCTGGGGGAACGAGTAGAAATACTTTTATATGGATTTTAAAGAGGAGGGGATCTCAGATAAATTATCAAAAAATGGACAAGTATCTCTCGTGTTAAGGTTTTGGGTGTGTAAGGTTTTAGGGCCTGCGTGTAGGAGAGGAACATGTGAGCCACAGTCAGCACCACCAGGTTGTGGGAGGACACAGAACGAGTGTGTCCTTGTCCCTTGGGAAATACACTGTGCCGGGAGGAGCTGGGGACAGGCAACTGCCCATGTTTGGCAACTTCTCGTTGTGGGAATTTTCAGTCTCCCACCCTGTGGGTGTGGGTGGTGCCGGCACCATCTCCAGCTTCTGCTTGATTGGTTCTTACCAGTTGGTCTCTAGGAAATGGCACACGTGAATTGCGGGGCATGTGGTAGTTCCGTGTTCGTGTGTTTAAGAGATGATTAAGTTATCTCAGGGACGCTGAACCCTGTGATGCTCCTCCCATTCACACAGATTTTGCTTTCTCCACGTCCGCTCCAACACTTGTTTCCATTACTCAATGGTCAGTTTGGACATGAAATCCTATCTTATGGTACCTTTGCTCTGCATTCCCTCAATGAGTAAATAATAAGGCTACCTTGCTGCATGCTTTCTTGCTGTTTTATATTTCGAGAAACACGGATTCAAGTCCTTTTCTCACCAACAAGACTTAGCTTTATTTTAAGTTGTGGTAAAGGAGCATTAGGGGGAGTTTAATACTTTAACTCCTTTCAGCGTGTGTTGCACACACACGTGCATTTGCAGGGCTCTACACCCACTCTCCTCCCAGATCAGTTTCCCTTGCGAGCTGATCTTCCAGCTTCTGTGCACCTCCAAATGCCCGCGTTTGCCCCAGTCCCTCGGGTGAAGAGAATCACAGCTTTGGTCCTTCGCCGACCAGCCAGTGTCTTCCAGGTTTGATCAGTGCGGAATGTGCCCCGCCGTCTTGCCTTTTAGGCCGAGCAAGCTTCTGCTCTTTCTAAACTACGCTTTCTCTATCTGGCCATCCTTTGAGGGGTACTTGAATTACATCTGCCTTTTGCTTGTTTTGACTGACACCACAGTGCATGTGGGAGCATAAATACTATTTTCGTCTCTGTGCCAGTTTTGTTTGTTTGTGCTGTTGGCATTGTGTGTCTGGGGAAATCATTTTCAGAGCTTTGGTCCATTTTTATTATTGGGCTTGTTTTATTGTTGCTTCCCTCCCCCCCCAACTGCAAGACATCTTATATATTTAGAATAAAAGAGCCTTATAAAATCGTAATTATCAAATACTTCCACAATGTAGACTGTATTTTCAAAAAACCATAATGCCCTTTAAAACATAATAGTTTGGTGTTAATTCAGTGGTCAGGAACTGTCTCCTCTTCCTGAGGGTCAGCTCCTAGCACCTGCATCAGGTGGCTCCTCGCTTCCTGGAACTCTGCCTCCAGGTCTCTGGTGCCATCTTCTGGCCTCCAAGGGCACTTGCGTGAGTGCACGCACACACTAACAGATGCACACATTACAATAATAAACCTTAAAAATAAAATATAAGTCTCTAATTTCTTAAATTATGTTTTTGACATTTCTCTCATATTTTGATCATACTGATGAAGTCGACTTTATGTAGACTTCTTGTAATTAAAAAGTGATTTATTCATTTCTATCTCATATTTTGCCACATGTGTGTCTGTGACATGTGTGCAGGGTCTCTGGGGGCAGAAGAGGGTGGTAGACGCCCTGGTGCCGGAGCTGTGGATGCTTGTCAGGTACCATATGAGGGGTGCTGGGAACTGAACCTGTGTCCTCAGTTGGACAGCCACTGCTCTTCCTCCCTGAGCCATTGGTTGTACTTTTGGTGTCATATGTCAGAATGTATTGCCAAATGCATATGATTGATTATATAAACTTTTACCAACAGGAAAAGCAACATTTCACTCTCTATAATAGTATAAAATAATTGACATTGTTATGAGGATTTTATACTTCCTTGTTTTCCTTTAGGGATCGTGCTCCTCTGTTAGATTTAAAGCTAGTTCAGTTATTCCATATGAATGTTTGTTACTGATGTGGCACATCTGTCAAGCGGCTGCGCAGTAAATAGAAAATTAAATGGAATGAAGGATTAATGCCTGTCCTGTTCATTGTTGCAGATTTTTATGAAACTTTAAATAATCCTTGAGTCTTTCTTTTAGGTCCTAAAAGGTGGCAAGATGATATCTTGCTGTCTGTGACTTTGTACTGTCATGTGATGTATAAAAATAACTGATTTTTAATGGCCACATTAATTACCTAACCAATAAACAACGTGTCACATTGGTAAATTATGTAGTAATATCTAAAATTAAATTGTAAGAGCCAGAAAGCATGTATCTGTTGCCACCTGCTGGGACGCGAGCTTTGGTTCTCTAGAACAGTGGTTCATGCTTGTAAGCTCTGCGCCGTCTCCCCAGTCCTGATGCGTTACCCCGGAAGCAAACACGCAGTGTCAGGGTTACACAGACACCTCTTGCTGATGGTGTAAGTCTGCTCTTAGATCATAGGATTTATGGTTTATTACTGTAATTGGTGGTTAAAAGAGCTCTCGTAGGGTCTTGTATGTGAATCTATAGCCCTATATTAGGCTAGACATCTATACCCATTGCCCAGAAGAACCCAGCACTCTAAGAGTTTGCAGTTGGGCGGTGTATTGTGCGGTATTGCTTAACACTATCATTAAATTATTGTTCAGTTTCTTCATTTCAAATGAAGCTAACTTACACAGATATAACAAGTCCTCAGTGAGCTCCGTGTGTGTGCGCGTGCCGTGCACGCATATGTTTACTTATATGTGTGTGCATTTGCAGGGCCATGTGTGTTGGGCATGCGTGTGTACATTGTGTGATGTGTGTGGAGGCCAGCAGACGCCGTGTGCACTCTTTTGAGAGATGCTCTCTCTGACCCGGAGTTCACCAGCTGCTCTGCCCACTCGCCAGTGAGCGCCAGGGACCCGCTTTCTCTGCCTGCCCAGGCAAGGCCACACTGCCCACATTAAAAATTTGTATTCATTGCTGTTTATTTTAAAAACTTGTTGATTATTACTGAGTGTGCATGTGTACATGCACATGTATGTGTGGGCATATTCATGGGGGTCATGCGTGCCCTGGTACAGGTGTGGAAGTCAGTGAACAGCTTTTAAACAGTAAGACGGTATTGTTGGAGAAGTCACTGTCTCCGTGTTCCCTTGGGTCCGCCCTGTCCGCCAACATCACCTTGTTGTTGTTCTGCTTTTAGAGCCCGCTGTGTCCAGATGGGCTGCTCAGGTCTTCATGGCTGCAGGTCACATCTTCGCTTCCTCCTGAGCCTTGCTTGGGGACAACACAACACACCTGGCCTGTGCCACAGCCGTCCATAGGTCCTCTTTGTGCATGGGCTTTGGGGATTGGGCACCTGGCCAGCTGAGCGTAGTTGGTTACACAGGAGGCGGCCCGAGCTTCGAGTGAATACTAACCCCGCGCCAGCTGACGCGGTGGCGTGTGGTAGTCACAGTTCACACTAGGTTTAAGCATGTTAGTAAAACTGCACAGCACAACGGGCATGGCGGGCTACCAGGAGACTCGGTACCCACGGTCACACACAGCGATGGTCAAGCCGAGTGTGTTGCTTTTTCACAAAAACACAGATGGGGCTTCAGCTGGAAGGCGCGGCTTTCGCTCGGCATGACCTGGACTCTGGGTTCAATGCCCTATGTCCCACCCAAAAACTGATAGAGATGTTTTCTATAAAAACTTTGGTGACTTGTTATTATGAAAATATCTCTTACCTTTAAAGACACTGGAGATTTTGCTAAGACTCTAACACAGAGTTAATAATATGCTTGGAGGTCATTTGAGATTGCTGTCCTACTGTGTGCTTAGTCTGTTTAACCTGCCCTTAAGAAAATGTACAGCCAACCTTATCTACCTTGGATTTCCCATGCAATTACCTTACAACTGAAGTAAGTGAATAACTGTAGATTTGTTTTTTTTTATTTCTTTTTACTTTTTTTTTTTTTTTTTACAATTTATTCATTTTATACCCTGATTGAAGC